AAATCCCCGTGTGAAACAGAAAGAGACAGCCTTTCATCCAGATTTACTAGGCTGATGCCTGACTCATTCCAGTCTCTCAGTTTCTTTTTTATCTCTCTTTCTCTTTCTCAATGTGCGTGTGTGACTTTTTCCCAGTTGTTGTGCCTGGAATTTTTGTATCTTCCCACTTCACTGCTGATTTACTACTGAAATTTATGCCACTGGTAGTTTGGTGTTCAGCCAATTTTGTTACAGTTGGAAAATCTAGCTTTTGTTGTAAGGGAACTGAAATGGACACATTCAGGATTTAAAGTAACTATGCTGATGTGACCAGCTGGAATGCCTGCACCTTCACCCCACCAGGTAGGGCAAACTGAAAGGCATCCTCATCCATTTTCTTTACAGATCAGCTGCAACAAGCCACTTATCAACAATTCTAATCAAATAGTAATATGTAATAGCCCATCACCAGGGTATGTGGGAATTGAAGTGCACATGCACACACACACACACATCCTGTGAAATGCCCCCCTTTATCAAAGCTTCATTTAAATTTCTTAACCTAGTTAACAGAACAACATAAGATCATAAGCAAAGCCATGCTGGATCAGACCAGTGGGCCACCCAGTCCAGCACTCTGTTCACATAGTAGTAAACCAGCTGTACACAAGATCCCCCAGGCAAGATGGGTCCAAGACCTCTGCCTGCCCCAGCTCCTCAGCAACTGCTCTATATGGGCAAGCCACCTCCATTGATGGAAACAGCACAGAACTGGCAAGGCTCTTCTTTCATGAATTTGTCCATTCCCCTTTTAAAGCCATCCAAATTGGTGGCCATCACCACTTCCTATGGCAGTGAATTCCAGATTTTAACTACCATATTTTTTGCTCTATAAGACGCACCTGACCATAAGACGCACCTAGTTTTTAGAGGAGGGATCCATGGAAAGCTTCTTGATAATCAAAGGCACATTCCCCATCACTTCCCCATGGGCTTCATTAAAAGACGGGTTGCCATTTGAAAACACACACCGACCTGTGACTAACAGCTATCACCTGCGCCGGAGGAGGGGGGCGGAGCAGGGTGTGCCGAGCGCGTGCTGGCCAGGTGTGGTGCAGCTGGGCCGGCAGTGTACCAGCCATGGTCTTCTGGGCAGCGCGGTGGCAGGTCTTTTTGGGCGGTGGGGGTGAACAGTCTGTCTCTCTGTGTGGCCGGCGGGTTAAAACCCGTGGCTCCTCCTCCTCCGCATGCCTCCCCGAGCGGCACAGCTCTCACCTGTGCCAGAGGGGAGGGCGGAGCAGCACGCACCAAGCGCATGCCGGCCAGGTGGTACCATGTGGTGCAGGCGGGTCGGCAGCGTCCCAGGCGTCGGGCGCACACACATTCACTCTATAAGACGCACAGACATTTCCCCTTACTTTTGAGGGGGGGAAAAGTGTGTCTTATAGAGCGAAAAATATGGTATATGTTGTATGAAGAAGTATTTTCTTTCATCTATCCTAAATCTCCCACCAACCAGCTGCATGAGATGACTCCAGGCTCTAGTATTATAGGATAAAGTGAAAAATGTCTCCCTTTCTACTTTCTCCACACCATGTGTTATTGTAAACACCTCTATCATGGCTCCCCTTACTCTCCTTTTTTTAAAGCTTTTACAGTTGTTATAGCCACTCCTCATAGGGGAATTGCTGCAGCCCATTGATCATTTTAGTTGTCTTCTCTGTACTTTTTCCAACTCGCAATGTCCTTTTCCCGGTAAGGCAACCAGAACTGTACCCAATATTCGAAGGATGACCTTGCCTGTTCTGTTTTCGATTCCATTCCTAATTATGCCTAGCATGGAGATTGCGTTTTTCACAGCAGCTGCACACTGGGCTGACAGTTCATCAAGCCATCCACCACCACCCTAAGAGTCTCTTCTTGATGAGTCACGGCTAGCTCAGATCCCATCAGCCTCTACTTGAAGTTGGGATTTTTTGCCCTAATAGGCAATGTGCATAACGTGTTTGCCAAGCATTCTGGTGTGCAAATAAGGCCAGATGCACAAATAAGGTCAGACCAGACAAGACAATCAAATCGCATTCAGTTTCCAATTCAATATTTTAATAACAGATCAAAGCAGAGAGAAGTTCAGAAATAGTTCCTTTAAAAAAATAAAATGAAACATCAAATTAACTCAGTAAACATTACTCCTTGGAATCCTAAGAATAACTCTGAGGTTACAGAAGGTTGGTACACATGACACAGCTGGCTATTTTGAGTTATTTACCCCATGATTCCTGGTGATGCTAGACACATATAGCCATCATTTTCATTGTGTGTATCAGGGGTTGGCCCATGCCATCTGAACCCAGTCACTGTGGATTATTCAAGAGTGAAACAACCCCTACTGCAAATCATGGGTTCAACACAGGGTGTTTAGTCCCCAAATAACCCATGATAGCCAGATAACAGCACAATGGCCGATGAGCCCAATCAGGAGCTGTGCAACCCAAATGATGCCTGCACCCCTGAGCACAAGCCGGTCACGCTCCTTGAACTGGATCAGACTGTGGAAGAGCTTTGCTTTGACACTTTGCCAACCATTCTAAAAGTGGCGATGACACATCCTCCAAGTGAGTTCTGAAGTGCCCACTCAGTAATCCTGGAATGTGTATAAAATTTCAGCTTTCATGACATGACTATGGCTCTCTGTCAGACCTTTCCAGGAAGGGAAGAGATAAAGAGGGAAAGACTATCACAGTTGTCCTTCCCGAATAACCACTTACAGCCCAATCCCACCCATCTTTACAAAAATACCACCGAGTTCACTGGATTTATCCTCAGATAAATATTGCTTCCCTTGACTATTTTTTATCAAGTACAGTATTCTACATATATCTTTACTTCTTCAGTCATTCCCACAATGAAATATAAGAAGGGAGAGAAGTAACTTCACCAGACGCTTTATCAGTGTGCTGACGAAACTGAAACTAAGTTATTAGCACTGCATGTAAAAATGGGAGCTTAGCCAGATGGAATCACAGTCCTTCCAGTTAAACATTTGGTTTGTTCCTGATCCCTGCACGTGGTCCACTGTAATCAAGATGTGCAAAGTTGAAAAGATTTAAATGTGTGTTGTGGATTCAGGCAGAGGTTTGCACATCAGATACTCTTTAGCCTATGATACTCCTCCAACTGCATTTTCCCCTGGCAAGCAATAGATGTAACTGCAATGCCTATTTATCTAAAACAGATGTCGACTCCTTTTCTTTCTTCCACCAGTTAATCAATCAGTGACAACTCATCTCTCCCTTGAGAGAAAGGCCTCTTGGCAGAAGACATGTAATTCAGGCTAGGCCAGTTATCTGTCAAATGGTGCATTGCCAAAATAATTCTCTGACCTTCTGTATAATTCAGGGTATCACAAATGTCCATTCTTTGTAGGTAGTGGGAAGGAATGAAGAATTATCATAGTGGCCCAGACTTCTTTAAAACTATTTTATGTTGCTCATCATCCTTTGCAGGTATTCAGGGCAGTGTGCAAACAGTTAACAAACAAAGAAATCAATAATAAAAGCAATATTTATGGAATCTCTTCTCCAAGTGCTCAATTATCCTGAAGTTTGGAAGACAGCAAGGAGAGAGAGGTTGACCACTTTTTTTTCCAGGCAGTGGCCCCCACAGCCCTGGAATGCTCTTGCAAGAGAAGGCTGAGTGGTACCCATAGCATTGCTGTCAAGCTCTTCTCCATTCCCTCAGGAGGGCAACAGTTCTATGATCCCTGGGATAGCAGCAATAGGAATTCAGTCCCCCTCTTGCAAGGCCCTAGACATTCCTTACAGCAGGGATTCAAAGCTCCAATCTCTCCTCAGATTGTTGGTCCATCTGCAATTCCCTCTGGGAGCCGTCCTGGCACCACAGAAATAACTGATTGTGAAATCATTCCTGTTGTCCCCAGGTGCTGGGAAAGAACCAAGGCAAAGCTCTTTCCTACCTTAGAGCCCTATACTTTACTTTACATCACTTGCTGGAAAAAATCCCGTCCCCCAACTCTGAAGCATGTGTCTAAACTCAGAGGGAAGAGGTAATTCTGAGCACGGGAGGGGAATCAGATCATGTCCGTGTCCCTGCGGATAAAAACATCCAGTGCTATCTCTCGGCCAGGCCTGGCTCTACTAAACTTTCGCATGCTTCTCTGCCACTCAGGGGCTTCTGCCTGGCGCTGAAAGCTGTCCTGCCGACTTGTCCACACTCCCACCACGCGGTCCTGGCATCATGTGCCCGAAGGCTGGCACACGGCTACCCCGTCCATGCCACCTCCTGTTCGGCCACGAAGCAGGACCTCTGTTTTAAGTCCTGCCCAGGGCAGACGTGCTGAACTGGAGAGACTTTCAGTTGTCCACGCTAACTGAAGCCCCGTGCACTGCAACGCGCCCGCTCGGAGAGGCTTCCGCCCGTCGCCTGGCAGCCTCGCGGTACGTGCAGAACGGCCAGCGGGACGCCCGCGATCGCGTCCGTGACGTGGGCGGCTGCCTCGGGTTGCCAGGCGGAAGAAGCGGGCGCGCCACGCCGCGCAGAGCGATCCACGGAACTTGGCCCCGCCGGCGGGACTTCCCGTTGGAGAAGCGCAGCGCCGCCCGCCGCGAAGGCGCGACGTCGGTTGCCGTTCCTCCAGCGCGGTAAGCCCCGGCGGTGGCTCGACACCTCTTCTCGGGACGCCCCTGCCCCGCCATCGCGGGTGCGCGGGTGGCTGCTTCTCCCGAGGGGACCCCTCTCCAAAAGGGACGTACTTGGCGCGCCTCCTTTGGGGCACCCCCATTTCTCCGTCAGGGGCTGTGAGCCGCGGCGCCGAGCGAGCGGACGGGCTCAGCCGCTGTGAATCCGAGACTCACGCAGGCTTGGCGCAAACTCGCCCACGGAGGCGGGTGGCTGCCCCTGCGCACCGCTCGCCGCCTTGACCCGGCCCCGGCCCCGGCCCCGGCCCCTCCCCGAGGCTGGGCGGGGCGGGGCGGGAGGCGGCCCCAGAGGCTCCGGCGATCCCAAGAAGCGAGTCCGCTTCCGCTGGTTTGTCGCTTGCGCCAGGCGGACAGACGGACGGGGAGGCGAGGGAGCAAGCGCGCGTACTCGGACCTGACTCCGCATAAAGGTAGCGCAGTGACGGGCCAAGGGGGCGGCGCTCTGCTTCGGGGGTCTTCCCCGCTAGGGCGTCCTTTGTGGGTGCCGCGAAGTAGCCTGGCGGGAATAGGAGAGGAATGGGGGAGTAGGAGCGATGCGAGCGGCGAGGAGAGAAGGTCTGCAGTGCCGAGGGTTCTCTGGAGCCGTGGGTGGGGTAGCTGTGGCTGTCTGGGAGCCGCTGGAGCGGGAGCTTGGGATGGACTCCTCTCTCGTCGTCGCAGGGCGCCGTGTCAGTCTCTCTAGACGCCCTGGAGCTCAAGGCCATTCATGCCGGCTCTAAGTCAGTCTTAGGAGCTTGCCTGGTAAATGGGCTCGCCTTACTCCCACGTGAGCGCAAGTAGCCTTAAAGTGCAATCCTGCTCATGCCCACTGAGAAGTAAGGGCTCAGCGAGTTCTTTGGGGCTTACTCCCAGGTAAGTGCATAGGAGTGCTGCCTCGGCGTCCCCCCTTACAGCGTTCAACGGGGCTGTAGTACATTTGCAAGGAAGACAGTTAAAAGGGGAAAGGGAAGGAGTGATCCTTTACCTTTTAGGCCTGAGCTTGTAGGTGGCAAATCGGGAGATGAGCCTTGTGGCGTGTGGCTGTGAAACCGTATCGGGGTCACTGGAAGCTATAAAGGAGGGGGAGACACTGGGGAGAAGACTTGTTTGATGCGTTGTTCCTGTGGTAGGTGATGCTGGGCAATGGAAAGAATCAGGTGCAGTTGCGGTGGCTTTGTAGGTGGGTAGAAGGTAGTGAAGTGTCCTAGGCTGAGGTGGCTGGCTTGCAGCGAAGAAGAGGTATCCTTAGTCGCTTCACTTTTAACCTGACTCTGAACTGAGTGCCCATCAGTCATTGAATAAAATTCCCTCTGGAGCATACATGTTAGTGAAGCAGATCTGGATGGAATCAAAAAGCAAAGCAAAACAAAACAAAACAGAGTTTTAGCTTCTTTTAAGATGTTTCATGTATCTGCCCTTAAGTCATCTCTGATTTATGAGGAGCCTACAAATGAATTCCCTCCAAAATGCTCTGTTCTTGATAGCCCTGCTCAGTTTTCATTTATGGAACCAGTCCATCTCATAGCTGGTCTTCCTCATATTCTTCTGCCTTAGACTCTCCCTAGCAAGGTTGTCTTCTTCAGGGATTCTTGCCTTCTCATGATGTGTTTGAAGTGTGAGAACTTCCGTTTTGCCATTTTTGCTTCTGGGAAAAGTTTTGGCTTGATTTGATCTAGGATGTATTTGTTTGGCTGTCTCTTGGTTCAGAATATTTGCAAAGCTCTCCTCCAGCACCATGTTTCAAACACCCCATGTTCCAGCTCTCAGTTTTCATCACTGTCCAGCTTGCACACCCATGCATAGGGAATACAACGATGTGAATTAACTTGGCCTTTGGTCTCCAGTGAAATGTCCTTACATTTGATGACCTTTTCTAGTTCTTTCATTGTTGCCCTTCCAAGTTCCAGTCATCTTCAAATTTTTTGGCTGCTGTCTCTCTTTGAATTGATAACTGAGCCAAGGTATGCAAAATCTAAGCCGTGCAAGGGACAAAAATGAACATCATTGTAAATATGTTTTTACAAAACACTTTTAAAAACTTCTATTCTAAAGCAGGTGCAGGCCCCTGATCTGGATTAGAACCCTAGCATGGCATATAGGGGAGCCTTTAAGATCAGGATCACCTCCTCACCTTGTTTGCTTATGAGAATGGGGGAGGCACAGTTGTCACTCTAGTGTGGCGACTATGAAAAAGGAAAAATCCACAGACATACTTAGAAAGGAATAGAAATAGCAAGATCATACTGTCCTTATGCAAATATGTAGTGTGACCACGCCTAGAATATTGTGTACATTTCTGGTACCGTACTTGAAAAGGTTGTTGTAGTGTTGAGGAAAGTGCAGAAAAGAGCAACCACAAGGATCCAGGAACTGGAACAACTTCCCTGTAGGGTAAGATTACAACATCTGGAATTGCTTAAGTCAGAAAAGTCATCAGTGAGGGCTGATCTCACAAGAGCTGTACAACATCATGCATGGTGTGGAGAAAGTAGATAGGAGACGTTTTTTCCTCATGATACTAGACTACAAGTCATGGGACATTTGGGACAGAAAAAAAAGGAAGTACTATGGAATTCACTTCCACAAGATGTGGCAATGGATGGATTTAATTGGGGGCTGGTTACTAGCAGGATTACTATAGCTAGCATCAGCAGCAAGATGTCTTTGTAGACCAGCTGCTACAAATATTGGCTCTTGCACTCCTGTCCTGGGTATAAGCTTCCCATGGGCAGCTGGTTGGCATGAACAAACCTCTGAACCAGATGGATCCTTGGCCTGATCTTGTATGGCTCTTCTTATGTTAGATGCATGTCTGTTCTGATCTCAGGGCTCTTGTAGGAGAGCATTCAGCCCCAAGAGAGCAGTCACTGATAGGATTTGGCTCCCAGCGCCTTGCTTGCCAGTTTCAAGGGGCAAGCAGTATATTTTGTATGGGAACAGTGTACACGCAGGTCACTCCACAAGGCAGGGTTAACATTGACCCACAAAAAGATTTACTGTCTGTCTTTTTTCAAAGTGGCCCAATTCAAGAACACAAGGTACCAACCAGGCATTTAGGAACATCCTCATGCTTCAGACCCAGCTGGGGATTCAAACCAGTTTTTCATCTTGAAAAGGCCACTGGCTTTCCTGAGAGTCACCCATCTGGTCTGAGCTTGAAAAAGGTAACCCTAATCCCAGAAGTATTAGATTTCAGTTCTTCACTCAGCAATGAGTAACCCTGATCTGTGCACATGCAAAGGCATTCCTTCCTTTGTTACCCCATGCTGTATTAGGAGCTGCAATCCAGCTTTCTTAGGTATTTTTGTACCACCATTCAATCATATTCCCAGGACACAGTTTTAAATTAGATGCCATCTTTTTTCCCTTCTCTTCATTAGAGGAAGTCTGCTCTTCACCTTTTTGTCTCTGGTCTCCTTTGACAGGAATTGGGATGGGTTGACTCTGTCAGGAGGAAATCACATAAAAAATGTGCTGCTGGTGAGTAACTGAGGGTGGGTGGGAGCTCTTGCAGATGGAAAGCAGTGAATTATGTGGCAGAGGATGAGAACAGCAAGCAAAGAACACATTTCCAAGCTGCTGCTTGTTGTTCTTGTGCATTCAGATACACCACCCGTTGGTATTTTTTGTTAGTGTTTTTTCTGACTACTAGCATTAGAGTTTTTGGAAGTACACACGCGTTGTCTTACATCACTGAGGGTTGAATGGGAACCGGGTTTGAACCACACTGGCCTTTTCAGTTCTCTGTCCTTTCATTGTTGCAGCAGTGTAGCTGTTGCATTTCCTTGTGTAAGGGCTCCTGACAAGCTGCCTTTCCGTATGATGTGGACAGTGATTCCCTGTGTCCTTTAAAAGAAAGCAAGTTATCTCTGCTTGCTTAGCTCACTTTCAAAGTTTTATATTGGGGTGGGAACTGGGAAGGAGGTTGTGTTAATAGCTTAGGAGCAAGGAAGCATTCCAAAAGCATGACTAAACAGTGTGCAGTGTATGTTCCCCCCCCCCCCCCCCCGGCCCCGGCCATACCCTCTCAGCCTCTGTAATCTGACAGCCTGGTCCTTTGGATGTAAATCAGTGCCCCTAAATCCTGCCTCAGCCTCTAAGAAAACTCCCAGTGAATATGGCCGTTGCTCTGTCCTGCTGGTTCACAAAGGTATTTGTGACTGGCAGATGTTTTGTTGGTGCTGTGGGACTCCAGCATATCTATTGGTTAATGGATAAAAGCCAGCCTTGTACTCTGGAATAAGGGATTCTCCTCCTCCCTCTTTTGTAAAGCAGGCATTAAAAAGACAGCTATTTGAAGGGGTTTTTCAGAAGGTCAATGTCTAGGGCTGTCAGAAGGCATTGTGCTGTTATTCTGTCTTCCTTAACATTTTTTTTCTTTTTTGGTGGAAAGAAAAATGATGGACGAGGTGGTGGGAAAACACAGGAAGGTTACAAATGGGAGATGATGATGATGTCTGGATCTCCCGTAAAATCTCGTGCTTGAGGCAGGCTGATTGCACAATAAAAGCCTCATCATGGAGTCTCTAGCTGTCTGCTTTAACTTTCATTTTAGATGAGCCTCATTTTCACTTTATGAAGAAGCATCTTGTGGCTTCTGAAAAGATTTTCAAGTAGTTTTAGCTTGGGATCCTTTGAGCCAATCAGTCTGGAGCATCATCCAGCAGCAGCATCTCCTGCATGAACCTGATTTAAATGAATTTAAGCTGCACAAGTGTGTTTTGGTTAAGTCCCATCCATTTCAATGGGACTTATGTGGGGGAGAACTTCTGGGGGAATGTGCTACGAAAGACAGATTTTCAAATGTTAAACTGATATGGCTCCTAGTACTACCCAACAATTGCTCTTCCTCTGTAAGCTACATGTAGACTTGATTTATTATTCTTTGAGGCAGAGGGCTAAGGGCATTTGTGGGTGTATCTCACTACATTCTGCTCACACTAGCAGGTGCAACATAGTTCACACAGGGGCAATTCTGAGCTTGTCCTTTTGGATCAGTTGCTGCTCAGTAAGAACATGATTACTTGAACTGTTATAAAAAGGTACTCTAAAAGTAATTTAGTGAAAATTTTAAAAATAGCAAAACGGGGGAACAGAACTTAGGAAAAGCCATGCAGGATCAGATGAAAAGTCCATCTAGTCCAGCACTCTGTACACATGGTGGCAAAACAGCTGCCCACAGGATCCCTCAAGTAGGGTGGGTGCAAGAGCTCCTCCTGCCCCAGCTCCTCAGCAATCGGTGTATGCAGGTGTGGTGGAGGAGGAAGCACAAAGCCAGCCAGGCTAGCGGGCACTATAGCTCCCTCCCTCTTGCATCTGCTCCGTCTCCTTTTAAAGCCATCCAAGCTGGTGGCCATCGCCACTTACTATGGCAACAAATTCCATAGTTTAACTATACAGTGTATGAAGAAGTACTGTCTTTTATCTGCCC